ATGCATTTCTGTCCTGTAGAAATTTGGATCCATTTCCTAAGGGTACCCAGGAGAATAGTAGTTTGGTTCCCATTTTTCATTGAAAAAGGAGACAACATTGCTGGTAGAACAAAGTTTTTACATAAGCAGTAAGAGAGAGAGTGTCAGCTATGCAGGAGAAGGGAATGCAACTTAAAGCATGACAAATAGAGTTGAAGGCCTACTGTGAAGATAAAAGTGGTTTAAAGTAATAGTCATGCATTAAATTGCCAAGGAAGATTGACAAACGATGACTCACGTCTCATCAATATTACAACAAGTTTTAAAATTCGTGTTTATTTTGTTCCAAAATACCAATGTATTCCCATTGTTGTTGCACTGAGACCACTTGGGCCATGCCATCTGCTTTAGTCAAATAATTTACAGTTGTCTGGAATCTTATGCATGGTGAGCTGAGATGTCTGTATCCGTTAATATTCTTCTCCTGCAGCATGGCAGTGATCCAGCAAAGCACATGCTTAACTTAAGTACAGGAAGTCCCATGGAAGTTATTGGAGCAACTGATGTGCTCAAAGCTAAACAAGTATTTTAAATACTCTGCTGGACTGAAGCCTAAATGAGGGCAGAATTTACCTTGCAGCCCCTTTAGAAAGTTACACCACCTTTTCTTGTGCTAAGTCTGGCCACAATGCTCTCAAAATTAAATAAAGATGAGATTTTTTTTTTAAATAAAAGTCTTATTAATGGATGCTGATATTGTAATTTGCACGTGGTCTATTTGATTGGTAAGTATTAAAACCAGCACTCGGATAAAATATTCACAACCTCCAATTTTTTGAAGTATTGCAATTCTGTGAAAATATAAGTAATGTTTTGCAAAGTCAAATCCTGCCCTTGCTTACAAACAGACCTATTGCGATATAAACTCCTCAGCATTTTCAGAATTTCAGCTGTTGAAATTCAATATGCCAAATGTTGACATTCAAATTTTCACAGGTTTGATGCAAAGCTTTTTTTTTTTTAATGCAAAAGCTAATAAAAAGGTAGTTTTCAGGCTTCAAAGTTGCCTTAAATAAAATTCCAACTTTTTAAATTCTTAATAATTTACACCCCCTATCATATTACTTTACAAATGTTACTACATATATTTTAACTTATGTAGCTGTCCTACAATTACACACATACACACACACTTACTTCAAGGTACTGTAACTCATCATAGCTGCCCATAGGGCTGGATAACAGAAGAGTCTATGCACAATACTCACATAAGCAGGTTGATACCTAAACAGAAAACATACATAATAGCTATGATGTCTTTGGAGATCTATATTTTAGGGAATGATTGTTATATTTGTATGATGTTAAAAGTCTTTTAAACCAGTTACTTCAGTAATCTGTTTGCACACCGACATGATGCTGGACATATGAATAATCCCCTTATTTGGACAAATAATCACTTTTAATGTAGTGCATCTTTTAGAAAAAAGCCATTTATATAATCCAAGGGTCGGCAACCTTCAGCACGCGGCCCATCAGGGTAATCTGCTGGTGGGCCGCAAGACATTTTGTTTACATTGACCATCCACAGGCATGGCCCCCCGCAGCTCCCAGTGGCCATGGTTCGCCAGGGTATTACCCTGATGGGCTATGTGCTGAAGGTTGCCGACCCCCGATATAGTCTTTAAAATGTACAATAGAGACAGATATTTAAGACCTGATCAGGCCCTTGAGAGCCAAATACTTTCAGTAACCATGAAGGCTCTGCTTCCTTTATATTTAAGAACAGATCAGTTAGATATTTGAAGATTACATAGTGCATCATGCAAGATCCTCCATCAATGGTTTATATAGTCCATGAAATGAAATAATTCACAGACTACGAACTTTTTAAGGCTCTACTGACAATGAATAATGCAAAGACAGCAAGAATGAAAGTATCTGAGCCTGGTCTGCCCTAGGAAATTAGATCAGTATAACTACATTGCTCAGGGGTGTGAAAATCTCATTGACCCATCTTCCGCCGCTCAGGGAGATGGATTACCTACACTGATAGGAGAATCCATCCCGTTGGCACAGGTAGTGTCTTCACTGAAGCACTACAGCAGTAGCATTTAAAGTGTAGAAAAGCCCTTTTATGTGGGGTGGCATGTTGTTGTCCCAGCATGCCCCCTCGTGGCCAGATGTGGCATTGCAGCAGTGCTACCTCAGTTCCCACCCCCCATCCTTTGGGGTACCTTGGCCCTCAGCCAAACCACTTTGTAGAGCCCCACCCCTGTCAGGGATGCAGCTTCCTTTACCAAAATCCAACAAAAAATAAATAGAAAACCAAACCTTCAGCTCAGTTAGGCTCAGCCAGCCACCTCTTCCTCACAAGTAGCTTTCATCTGCTACAGTTTGTCCCTACCCCAAGCCTCAGGCTCCTGTTCCCTCAACAACCCCACTGTTCAGGGGCTGGCACACTCTTCCCCTCACTCAGGGGTTCATGGAGACTACAGTTTCTCAAGACCCTTGTCACCCCTGGAGTAGCTTATCTGCTCTCCTTCCTCCATCTCAGCCTTCTTTCAGGCTGCTTGAGAGAGAGAGAGAGCACAAGCACGTACATACACAAGTGAGTACACGTGCACACTTCCCACCTCCATTCCTGTGGGTCTTCTTCCTTCAGCTGGGTTCACCCACCTCTTTATGACAACAAGCTCTATTCCCCCCCAGCTGAGATTTATTTCCAATTAGGCCTGGCCCACCCTCTGGTGCAAGCAGGCTGGCTAACTGGCTCTCAGGCACATATTAACCCTTTCCTTCCAGCAAACCATCACCTACCAGCCATTTTTTTCTCCGTCCTTCCTATCTGTTGTTTTGATAGCTCTGGCTTTTTCTGAATCTCTCCCACATGGAATCTCCCACAACAGCGTCAGTATCACTTAGGATCCCAGCAGCTTCTTCTAAGTACCTCTCCACAGGAAAGAAGTATGGGTACTCTGAGAATCTCGCACAGAACCTACGTCTCTCTCTGATCACATTTATGTCTGTTGAGTAACATAAGTACTCACCATTCTGTCCTGGCAGAGTGGGGAGTGGAAGTAGAATGAGCAGCCTGGGTACTTTTTTGTTTCAGAATGCATTCTGTGCTTATGTTTATAATTTAGATACATAATTATGTATCATAATTTCCCAAAAGAGCAATATGAGCTTCCTGTTTTAGTTTTAAACTATTAGAAAACTATTAAAAAAACAAAAACATTAAATGTAGGTTGCTTATGGCTGTAGATACACAGTGCTATAAATTGAGAAAATTAGGAGATTAGTAGCTGCTGCCGATATTCTGCTAGATCAGAAGTTTTCAACGAAGTTATTGAGACCATATTCAGGTTGTGCAAGCCTGCCTACACTAGTTAATGGTGGCTGCCAATTCCTTACAACCAGCTGCTGTTCAGTAAAACTTCTAAACAGAGCAAGGCAAGAGAAAGAAACATAGAATATCTTCCTTTACACCTTTTACGTCTTTCCCCAGAGGGCGTCCTAAAAAGAACTTTAGTAATTTGTTTCTTTTACAAATCAGTCCTTAAAATGCAAAGACATTTTCTGTTTGGTAAGGCACTTTACATGTTATTTTGTGGGACCACAAAGGAGTTTAATTAAAAAAAAAATCATATGACCCACTGAGAACAGGACAAACAATGGGCTTAGCAACCTAGGAAGCAATCAGAATTCCAGAGCAGAATGGCCTGAAACTTACTTTGAGAGAGAAAGTTTCATTTTACCACTGCAAACCTTTTAGACTCAATGACCTCATGCAGTATCAAATGGCTTAGTGAATACTAAACTATAGGATGTTCACAAAGGTTAATGAAACAAAGGGGAAGTTAATGCACCACTCAGAGCAATATTAAGGGTCTATCTATACTACAAGCACTACAGGAGCACAGTTGTAGCACTGCAGCGATGCTGCTGGAGAGTTATAGCATAAACACTTGCTACAGCAAAGGAAGGGGTTTTACCATCCCTGTAAATCCACCCACTAGAGAGACTGGAGCTAGGTGGAAGAATCCTTCTGTCCATCGACCTATCTGTGTCTACGGGATTAGGTCAGCCTCCTTATGTCATATAGGGCACAACATTTGTCACAGCCCTAAGCAACATAGCTAGGTCAACGTTAGTTTGAAGTGCAGACCAGGCCTAACTCAAATTAAAATACAAAAAAAGATACCAAAAAACCCTACCTGTTCAGCTGTGATTGAAAGGTACTTGGTAGATTTAAAACTAACTGATTGATTTTTAAAGCTGGTTATTAAGTGTACACTTCTAAAGAGTTAGTACTTATATTAACAGCAGCTCTCTTCTCATTCAATTTTTCCTAATGATGTAAGTCACTTAGACCAACATACCAGCTCAGGATATGAGATCGTCTTACATTTTCCACTGTTGTAACGTAATTATAGTAAATGTGTTATTTAATATTGTAAGTTTTAAATATAACTTTCCTAAAATTACTAGCAAGCCAAAAACTCTTAAAATAAAATTGGACTTTTAGACATATTGGACATTTCTCTTTGTTTACTTCTTCACCAAGAAGCTGGTCCATTGCAACGCCACAATATATATGATTTAGGTCTCCATTTTTATATACCACAATTCCAATACTTAGTAGATACAGCAGTTCTTTTCATCTAGTGTGGTGCCCAGTGGATACCACAAATATTTGTTGAATCAGTTTTTGTCTCAATTCTGCTTCAGCCATAATGGTTCTTCTGCAAATTTTCTCCTAGATTGCACTGTCACTTATTAGAGCAATGCTTCATTTTGTTTTACAAACATTCATGGAGGTGTGTAAAAATATTTAATTTGAAGCCTGTGCATTAGACAATTGCTTGATTAAATAAAATGAATTATAAAAAGTGTCTCTGAAAATCTCAAAGCCAATACTGTTGTTTCACAGATGCTTCCTACAGGTAAGTCACTGGTATTGATTTTATTTAATACTGATAGCTGTGTTCATTCACCCACTTTGCTGATTTTTCTAGGTACACCAAAATGAAGACTGCCACCAATATCTATATTTTCAACCTTGCCCTGGCAGATGCCCTAGCAACAAGTACTCTGCCATTCCAGAGTGTGAATTACTTGATGGGAACATGGCCATTTGGTACAATCCTTTGTAAGATCGTTATGTCCATAGACTACTACAATATGTTCACAAGTATCTTTACACTCTGCACCATGAGTGTGGATCGCTACATAGCTGTTTGCCACCCAGTCAAGGCTCTTGATTTTCGCACTCCCAGAAATGCCAAAATTGTCAATGTCTGCAACTGGATTCTTTCTTCAACCATAGGTCTGCCAGTTATGTTCATGGCAACCACAAAATACAGGCACGGTGAGTCTGACTTTCATAACCGGGGTTGAGTTAAACTGAATGTTTAAATGCTCACTCTCTTTCTTAAGACCTAAGCACTGTCTCTCTTTATTTTAGAGGTTTGGGCCTCAATTCTGACCTTGCAGCTGTATAAATCAGGAGAAATCATTGGTATGAAATCAGTGGAAATGAAAGCAGCATCAGGCCCCTTCAACATGTTTAAAATAATACCTGTCACAAATTCAGTAATGTTATAGAAAGGCTTTCTATATGAAGTATAGTTTGGTATTCTAGACCTATGATGATTGTCATATCGGGGGAAAACAAAATGAGATCTGTGGTTTGGCTGACAAAAGAGAGAGTATATGTAAGCAGCAGTTTATTCACTAAAGCTGATGCAGGAAATAAGATGGGAACTGTGAATTTGGGGGTGAGGGGGGAGGATAATAGTTTCAAAATTCAAAATCTTTTGAATTTCAAATTGTATTTTTAAACAACACTAGAGTTGGTCAAAAAATGGTGTGGTGGGGGACACGGGAATTTCTTGAAAATTCTCTAAATTTTTCCTGTTTATTTTTTTTATTTCAAATTTTTGATATTTTGTCACAATTCAGAAAAATGTTGGCCAACTTTAGCATTCACTGTAACCTATCAACATTGAGGCACTCCATTATAGTCAAGCAAGTCCTTTGGAGCCAGTGGGGTTCCATAAGGACAATACTTGATTCTGTGGTATAAAGTCTTATCCTCCACATCTACTCTGCCCCTCCAAAAACCAAAAATCTATCTATACAAACTATACACCAAGTACTGCATGACCACGTATGTAGATGAAAAGATGCAAACAAGCATCTACAGTACTGATGACTACGTATGTAGATGAAGCCTGTCATGTCATGAGATGTCCACAAACTATAGTTGACATGTAAGGAACATACTTTCAAGGGCTTTTGTTTCTTAAAATATGCTTCCAGTTTTCATGTAAGAAAAATTATTATTGACCTATTAAGAGCCTCATCCAAAGCCCAAGGAAATCAGTGGAAAGACTGTCATTGACCTAGGTTCTACTCCTGAGCCAACTGAAGCTAGTAACAAAGTTCCCACTGATTTCAAAGATGCAGGATAGAGGCTTAATGCACTGGATCAAGCCTTAACTATCAAAAAGTATGCAGGGCACCACTAGTACAAACAAAAGCATTTATAGTCTAATCCTGCAAACAGATTTGCCCGTACTGACTTTATTGGAACTCCTCATGGGATTCAGGAGTCCCATATAGCAGATCAAGTCTAAGTAAAAATATGACAAGGGGGGGAAAAAACAGAGGAAGGATGATAGAAAGAATAGGATTATAGAGACGAGAGCATGAGTTATCTTAGTGATACTGCATACAATCTGAAGATATGGTTTAAGAACATAAGAATGGCCCTACTGGGTCAGACAAATGTCCATCTAGCCCAGTATCCTGTCTTCCGACAGTGGCCAGTGCCAGGTGCCCCAGAGGGAATGAACAGAACAGGTAATCATTAAGTGATCCATCCCCTGTCGCTCATTCCCAGCTTCTGGCAAACAGAGGCTAGGGACACCATTCCTGCCCATCCTGACTAATAGCCATTGATGGACCTATCCTCCATGAATTTATCTAGTTCTTTTTTGAACCCTGTTATGGTCTTGGCCTTCACAACATCCTCTGGCAAGGAGTTCCACAAGTTGACTGTGCGTTGTGTGAAGAAATGCTTCCTTTTATTTGTTTTAAACCTGCTGCCTATTAATTTCATTTGGTGACCCCTAGTTCTTGTGTTATGAGAAGTATAAACAACACTTCCTTATCTACTTTCTCTACACCAGTCATGATTTTATAGACCTCAATCATATCTCCCCTTAGCCATCTCTTTTCCAAGCTGAAAAGTCCCAGTCTTATTAATCTCTCCTCATACGGAAACCGTAAGGTGTTATGTTAACTTGCATTATGGTAATAGCTGTGTGCACAACTTGTTTGTGTATATTATATATGGAAGGGGTTGTATGTCACTTCCTATCTTTAAATATTTGAGAACTTTTGCTTAGATCATTAAAGAGCTTTGTTCTCGCTGTATGTATGCACACACACACACACACACACACACATATTAGATGCATAGAAATGCTGTAAAAGTTCTCCCATGACATATAAAGCACCTACAAGGCAACCCAGTCTTTGCCTACTCTTCCTTTATAAGAATATTCAGTTTTTATTACAGAATCTATTTTTGTAACCAAGCACACCCATCTAGTGATTTACATTCACCATAATATAAAACATTATATTTCCCTCGTATGCCAGAATATAATAGCATATTAGCACTTCAGAATTTCTTTTTAACGAGCACATTAACAGGAAATATTATCCAGAACAACACCAGTGCCACGCAGAAAACTCATCTGCATAATAATTCTAGCAAACGCAGAAGTAGATCCAAAGCAAACAAAAGAAAGGAACATCACATTGGAACAAACGTAGCCACCATTATTGTCACAATTTAGAGTTAAACATACGAGTCGGCATGGTTAAGATAATTTAAACACACATGTAGAAACACAGATTAAGAACTCCATGTGCAGCAATAACACAAATGAGAGAGAAATCTGAAAAATCCACAGGTGTGGAGAGACCCATTTTATGGTTTGAGGGCAGTGTGGAAAATCTTGCATTGCAACTGCTGTCTTTATATGGTTAACAGAAGAAGAGCTGCCTAGCCGATACATTTCATGTGTGTTAAATACATTAAATTGCAAAGAAAACACTATCAAAAATATTTATGGGAACTCTTGAGTTCTACCATTTTGGAGTTCATATAAACACACAAAATCACCTTCACTCCCAACATTCAGTGGAAATCTTTATCACATTTGATCTGATTGATGACATCTTACCTGATCATTTCAGCCAGTGAGTTATGTTTTTGAATGTGTATATTATTGTCCATGTTTAATAAGACTGGTATAACCCCCTCCTCTCCAGTCTCCTGGGCTCTTGCCTCTCTACTCTAACAATCAGCAGCTAAATTAATCTTCCTTTCCCTCCCTCAGGCATCCATGCACTTCTTTAAGGCCTCAAATCTTCAAGGTGCTGACCTTTCTGACCCTGATTCAACACAGCTCTTAAGCACAAATTTAAACGCCGTAGTAACTAGGGATGGACTTAAACACATGCTTCCTGTGAGCATGTAGGTGACTGTGACAGACTGCTGGGAGCTAGCAGCTGACCCAGCACTCTGATCACTTAGCATACTTTTACACAGGGGTAAAAAAAAACAGTGACTGGCCTGGGCCAACTGACTTGGGCTCGGGCTCTGAGCTGAAAAATTGCTGTGTAGATGCTCGGGCTCAGGTTGCAGGGTCCCAGAGCTCAGGCTCCAGCCCGAGCCCAGCGTCTCCACAGCAATTTTTCAGCTGTGAGCCTGAGCCCTGTGAGCCTGAGTCAGTTGACCTGGGCCAGTCACAGGTTTTTTATCCCTGCATAGACATACCCTTAGGGCTTCTGTGGGGAAAGTATTTAGTGCCTGACTGGGGGGCAGAAGACCATGGGCTGATGAGCTATAAGGCTAACTATCCCATCTGCTAAAAATATAGTTAAAAACCAAAAGAAGGAAGTGCAAAGGGAGGAGAGAGGGCTAGCAGGGCCCTAGGGAAGCCAGGTTGCTGGCTGGTGAGATTGCTTTGTCTTCTTCTCACTGGAGACAGGGCTGAGGATTGAAGGACACTGTAGGTGGAAGTGCTGCACAGGAATGTTGATGATGGCTTGGTGGAGGAAACAAATGAAAACAGAGGTGTTGACAATAAAGAAGCGTCCAAGACTGTTTGCAAACCTGCCCTGTTACCAGGGCCAGCTCTAGGATTTTTGCCGCCAAAAGCAAAAACAATTTTGGCCGCCCCCCGTTTTTTAATTACCCCCGGCCCCGCCTCAACTCCGCCCCTTCCCCAAATCCCCAGCCCTGCCTCCTCCCCCCAGGCTCTCAAGTCGGGGAGGGAGGGGGAGCAGCGGCGCGCGAAACAGCTGTTTCGCGCGCCGCGGCCGCTCGGGATCTCCCCCTCCCTCCCAGGTTTGAGAGCCTGGGAGGGAGGGGGAGACTCCGAGTGGCCACGGCGCGGGCGCCGCTTCTCCCCCTCCCTCCCAGGCTCTCAAGCCTGGGAGGGAGGGCGAGTAGCGGCGCGCGAGCGGCAGCGGAGGTGAGCTAGGGCGGCCGGGGCACATTTTTAGGGGCGGCATTCTGGCGCCGGCCATGCCGCCCCTAAAAATGTGCCGCCCCAAGCACCAGCTTGTTTTGCTGGTGCCTAGAGCCGGCCCTGCCTGTTACAATGGTCCAATTGATTTCAGTGTGCGTAAGCATCTGTCTGTGTGTTTTGCTGGATCAGGATGGCACACAGGTCTGCACCTTTCACGACTGAGCCCCAAATTCCTCCAAAGCCGTCTCGTCTCATTTTGCATAAAATTCAAACTTCTCCTGACTTTTGAGGTCCCCTGCCTGCAACTCATCTCCTGTCACTCTCTCTGCTTCACCCACTCATCTTGTTGCTCCCTTTGGTCTCCTCCTCCCATTCTTGCTTTTGTGTCTTTTCATGCTGCTTTCTACAGCTGGAAAACCATCCTTCTTCCTCATTGTCCTTTTAACCCCCAAACCCTCAAAACAAAACACTGTTTAAACTGCCCTATTTCAACAGATTTCATGCTGAAACTGAAAATTGGCCCAAGTTTGTTTGTTTGTTTGCAAACCCTAAGTGAACTTTTTGACAAACAAAAACAAACTAAGAATCCTTTGGTTTTGGCTTTCTAACAAAAACATCACAAATCTCTAGCAATAACACTGCATTCTTCAGAAGATGGACAGGCCTGTGGTAAAGTATCTGCATGGCTGTAAACAAACATGCATCAGCCAATCAAAGCTGTTTTGTTTCAGTTACTCATTTTATAAAATTGCATCAAAGTGCTGTACAATGTTGCGGGGCAGGGGGATGGGGGGAGGAAGAGACTAAAGCAAAGCAAGTTAAACACTGAACTGTTCACTCTTCTCTGTAATTTTGTTTTACTTTAGGTTCCATTGACTGCACACTTACGTTCTCTCACCCAGCTTGGTACTGGGAGAACCTACTGAAAATCTGTGTATTCATCTTTGCCTTCATCATGCCAGTCCTGATCATTACCGTGTGCTATGGCTTGATGATTTTACGCCTGAAGAGTGTCCGCATGCTGTCTGGTTCCAAGGAGAAGGATAGGAACCTGAGGAGAATCACGAGAATGGTCCTTGTAGTGGTGGCGGTGTTCATTGTCTGCTGGACTCCCATCCACATTTATGTCATCATTAAAGCCTTGATCAATATTCCAGAAACTACGTTCCAAACAGTCTCCTGGCACTTCTGTATCGCTTTAGGATACACAAATAGCTGCCTTAATCCAGTCCTTTATGCATTTCTAGATGAAAACTTCAAAAGATGTTTCAGAGAATTCTGCATTCCCACTTCCTCCACTATTGAGCAACAAAACTCCACCCGCATCCGACAAAACACTCGTGATCATGCCTCCACTGCCAATACTGTGGATAGGACTAATCATCAGGTATGACTAGCAGTGGAGATGTCATCTCTGGATTCAGGCCTCCCTCCTGGAGATGACATGTGTTCCGAAGTTACAGTCTTTACTGATTTATAGCTATCAGGAGGTAGCTTGGTTTATCTTAACAGCTGGTGTACACGTACATACAACCCAATCCAGTGAGAAGCTAAGCGCTTGCAATACCCAATGAAGTTTGGAAGTAGGGGGCTCTCAAAAGTACCTTGCATGATCAGGCCTAGTGTGTGTGTGTGGCTGTGTGTGGCTATGCGCGCACACACACACACACTACACCAGAGAAAGAAACCGAATGGTCTTACTTTACAGAATGTTTGCAACTTCTGAACATTCTGTGACTGACTGATGAAGGATCATAGACTTTTCTATTCACACCACTAGTGCATGGTGGTAAGCCAAATAGATATCCCTATCCTCCCATTTTAAAGGTGACTGTCAAAGGCAGAAAATATATTTGCGCAATCTTTTTGCTTCTTTATGGTCTATGAAGAAGTTCTGAAAGGCCCTGTTTTTCCTGGAAGTCTATGCAAGCCTGGGCCCAGTCGTCACACAGTTTTTGTACCAGTACAACTATGTTGGTTGGAGGTGTGATATTTTTAACCAATATAGTTATACTAGTGCAACCTCCAGGGTGAGCATAGTTCTGCCAGTATAAAGAAGCTTTGTAACCCCTTCCCATAAAGAATAAGTTATTACAATGCAAGCCAAGTTTATGACAGTATAACCGTGTCCAGACTTGTTGGGGGGAGGTGTCTGTGCCACTTCAGCTATACTGGTTTAATTAAAGCAGTACAACTTGTGTGTGAAGTCTGGCCTTAAAGAACTAGTAGCTTTATGGCATCACAGATACCAAGGAAATCAAACCTGATTTACTGAGAGGGGAAGAGATTTTTATTTCAAGCAGTTTAAAACACTGGGGTTTGTTTTGTCTTTTTTTTATTGACACCTATTTAATTCAACTGTCAAACTGCTGGATGAGAAGCTCTTCTGTTAGAGATTCAACACCCATGCCCCTTTAATTAGGTCTGAGAGCTTCTATTCCACATCTGAGTCTTCCTAGGGAAACATCAAGCTAAACAGGGAAAGAAAAACATTAAACGTTCCTGTGATCAAAGAAATGAAGCAGAAAAATAAACCTTTATCAAGATCTTCTGAGTCTTCTTTACAATTCACATAAAAAAGAAAAAGGGCACAAAACCTGCTAGTGCTGAATAGATTCACACCCCAACTTGCTGCAAACCTAAGTGTTTGTGTAGACTGGCCCTTAATCAGCAAAAGCACTCTGTTTCCAGTATCAGCTGCATCTACAGTACACTAGGAGGTTTGACAGAACAACTATCACTGTAGCTATGCCAACAAACCTTTCTAGTGTAGACAAGGCTTTAGAGGGGATTTGGTATGAGTACTAATTCCTTAGACTGCTCAGCACAATTCATATCATTTTCAGTGGAACAGACAAAGGGCCCTAACAAAATGCTGACTGAATGCTCTTAACTCCCACTAAATGAGAACTGAAGGCACTCAGAACCCCAGCAAGATTAAGCCCAAAGTGCTTGACACTAGAGCTGCTTGGGAATTTGACAAAGAATTGTGTGTCAGAAAGTGACAATTCATTGAATTGTTCTGAAAAGATGGCAGTATCTCACTTGCGTTCATTGAAATAGGTGCTCTGATACTGTGGTGATGACTTAATCAATTAGCTAGAAATGAATCCATCAAAATGAATTGGACTTTTCAGAATTCAGCAATCATCAACACAATTCATTAACAGCTGATCTTTAAGCTAATCAGCAGCTGGCAAAAAAGAACAATAAAAAGGTCTTTTTCAGTAACAAGAGGATCATTAGCATCCTTGGTGCAGAAAAATATTCAAGCAGATTTTAACCTAGGAAACAGAATCTTGCAGATAGTGTTCACCTAACTGGGGTAAGAACTGGTTTTAAAATCTTTGGACCAGATTCTTAGCTAATATTAACCAGAATAGTCCCATCAAATTCAACAAAAAGCCAGTATGCCATTTTCACCAGCTGAGTGTCTGATCTTTCCTTTATACTCCAAACCTATGTTGGGTCACTCATAGAAGAGTCCAAAGTACTTTAACATTAAGCAGTTTTATTTAGGGACAGGGATTTCCTCAGGATCCCTCCATTCCTTCTTCATTTTTTATTCCTTCCTCACTGACACGTCACTGTAAGTGCATTTATACTTTTATATACAGCCCCACAGTCAAATAAAATCGAAGTGTGCCAAGCTTAGAGTGACCAGACAGCAAATGTGAAAAATTGGGACAGGGGGTGGGGGGTAATAGGAGCCTATATAAGAAAAAGACCCCAAAATCGGGACTGTCCCTATAAAATCAGGACATCTGGTCACCCTAAGCTTCCCTTAACCAAGGAGGTTTAAACAAGTACTCACTTCAGAACCCATCAGCTCCATCCCTTCAGTCATCCAGGGAGAATCACCGAAGAGTGACACAAGTTGCTTCATCTCCCAGGAGCTGAGCATGCCACCCTTGCATTATGCCCAGTGTTAGCAAGGGAGAGTAGTCACTACCTTTTTTCCCATTAAATTATTTTGCACCATCTCAGAAGTATGCTGTGGATCAAATTCTGCTGTGTATATCTTAAGGGAGAACTGAGCCTTATATTATTATATTATATTATTAAAGAGTGGGCATAGCCACACTATAAATAATAGCATACTTTGATTACTATAAAGCATTGTGGTTTTTTTTCTAATGGAATACTCCTAAATAACCTTGTGGGCAGAAAAGTGTCATTTTGTGTATGTTTATTGCTAAATTCAGCAGATCTTTAGAACTGGCCCCTATTCTGTAGCTCGATAGCTGTTGTACATGGAGTGGCTCTAGAAACGAGCCCATTGCTTTTTCTGTAATATATGCGATTCTCAAATCTGTTTGGCTTGCTACTCATGAAGAAAATCAAGAATAATGTCACTAGGTGGTCTGGAACTAACTGATTATCTTATAAAAATGCATGCAATTGCTGAAGTTATTTTTTAAAAGTATGAAATGAACTAAATGATCAGGAACATACATGTTCATTAGTATATGAAAAATTGAAAGCTTTATCTGATCTATAAAACTTAGAGATGGGCCTAAGCCACAACATTCATTTTTGGATGCACATTTCCCCAAAGCATAGGGATATTCAGATTTGAGGATTATAATCCATTTCTAACTAAGTAGCTGCTAGTGGAATTTCCACCACAGAGTTGCAGACAGAGCTGAAATAAAGCTTGTGAAATTTTGACACTGCTAAACCTGAACTTGAGCTTGGATTTGACCTCAGATCATATCTTATTTTAAACCAGGAGTTAAAGAAAACACCTCCTTGCTGAAAGAAAAGTAGGAGGCTCCTCTCCTGTATTTCGTTTGGGTGAGCAGGGCTGCCCTGAAGCACCTCCTCTTCTGTGACTGGTGCAGGGAGAGCTTCTCCTTTCCTGTTTCAATCCGCTTAGCCAGTGGTCTAAATCTGATCAGGAGCTCTACTTTTTGAGCAACAAACACTTCACTTGCAAGGTGTTTTGCCTTGATTTCAACTTGCTACAACACTGAAAAATACAGCCCATTGTCAGAGCATAGAAATGATCAATGGCTTTCAAGGAGAGAAAAACTGGCAGGTTTTGCTGTTGAAATTGTTAGTAGTGCACTTCTGCGCAGGTGCAGCACTGATGACATAAAAAACTGTATCTATCTACCATATGTATATGCTATTGGGGGCTTTGTGGGCAGGGGATTTAGTTCCTGCCTTTTCAATCTCAAACTAAACTTTTAGACTATTACAGAGGAACTTTAAAAAAGTTAAAACTCTTAACTTAGCAGAGTGACAATTGATTGTATTTGGCATAATAGGAAGCAAAAATCTTAGAAGAAGATGTTCATGTATCACAGAGAACACTAACTTTTCAGCAATGGCTGCAAAAAGTGCATTGAAAGTACCAAAGTTGTTCTGTACTAATGAAATTCACATAGGATTCACATAAGAAAACCGCCACCATTATGTGCTTGGCACGTAATGTATTCTAGTTTAAACATAGTGTATGACGTAGTGTATGACATGGAGTAGACGTTTCTCTATTTTAATTCCTCTGTTGTAAACATATTGGGCCGGCTCCTCAGCTGGTGTGAATCAACATAACACAGTGGAATTCAATGGCACTATTTGATTCACACCAGCTGAGGATCTAGCCCATTCAAATATGTGGATAAAAAAATAAACACAATTGTTGCCACCTTATGTTACTGAGAACCAGCAAGAGGTTTTAAGTGGAAGAACTACACTTCTTTTGAAATCAGAGTCAGATCAACTAGGAATGTGCATATTTCTCTTTAAAGATCTTTTCAGGTATAGTCCTGAAGCTAAAACCACTATTTTTGTGGTAGTTTCCTCTGCCTTCATGATGTAAACTGAAAGGAAAGCCTTCAGCTTTGCACAGTGAGATAGTAGCAGCAAATGCTGGGTAAATTCACCCAAAAAAACATTTGCAAGAAACACATGGGAGGGGAAGTCAATGAAGTACTCATGGTATTTACAATTTCTTTCCTTTCAGTTGGAACTTCTGGAAGCTGAAGCCACACCACTGCCATGAGAGGGTCTTCTGCTGCATAGCCCTCAAAGCAATCACAACACCAGTGCCAAGGTGTGTTTGTGGGGAATGTGTAGGAGACACTTTTTTCCCCCTGGAGGAAAGTGCTTGCTTTAAGATACATCAAAGTGATTTGCCACTATGGCAATTCTGCATTGCAGTTACAGGAGCATGAAACCTAATAGCAGGCAGAGTCAGATGAAATGGAGGCTTACCATGCTCCAGTGTACAAAAATATACATAGTCATCCAGAATATATACATTTATCTAAAAGGGGGCTACTGGACATTACTGGGGTCAGATAGCCCAAGTTTTGCTCTGAATGGTTACAGTAGCATTAGGTTGGAAGCAAAAACTCAAGGGATGGGCAAATATAGGCTGCTTAATGGAGGTGATTTACTAATAAACGGAAGCAGAATTGCATACAAAACACCTAGGGATATTTTGGAACAGTTTCAGCTAGAAATGTGCTTTATAATGGTGGTTTCTTGTATCGGTTACAATACATATGTTTTTTATATGAAAAATCATCACTAAGTCAGCTACAGTAACAAAGGAGATCAAAGCTACCTGTGTGACACAGATAACTTTCTCAAAAAAGTATGACCCTTTCTAGCATTTTAATGGAAAATGACTCACTTTTTTCAATGCTCACTTCAAAAACCCAAACCTTAACCTCCTCTTCCACTTTTAACATACAAAAATATTTTAATAATAAAAATAATGCATTCTCATTTGTTCAGGAAGAAGCAAGTGGGAATAACAGTTGGGAAGGTTTGATGGTCCTCTGGGTTGTTGTTGCTTGTAAAATGGATCAATAAAGGGACTGCAGCTCTTTTTGTAAATTCCATTGTGACTACATGTAGATTGTTAATCCTTTCAGAGCTAGCACCGTGTGTTTATACATTCTCTTTGAACTAGTTTCTCCAGTTTCAACTGTGCAATCAGCAACATCTCAGACTCATCCAAATACTCAGTTTTTGTATAGCACTCTGGGATCCTTCAGGATGAAAGGAGCTATATAAAATGTAAATCACTATTATTAAATCTGTGAAGAGCTTAAGCAAATACAGAACACACTTTAGGCCTTTTTAAAAAAGAAAAACAATAAAGTTACATTTTGAAAGTAAATTAATTTTTTAAAACCAAGCCCATAACATTTATGCTTTTCTAACCAATGTAATAAAATTGTAGTCTGTATTTCCATTTTCTATTGGCTGCTAAAGCACTTTAAAATGTACAAAAGAAACACTGTACAGAAGCAATTGCCATGTAACCTGCTCTCTGGTATCAAAGACAACTATCCATGTAGATAATTTGTGGTAATATGGTATTTTGTAGCCACTGTTTGGTATTTGCTGTATATAATTAAATGGTCAAGTTATCCATGAGACAAAAAGTACTTACATGAATTTACGTGCATTGTAAAATAAAACCGTATCTTTCTCTTGTAATTAAAGTGCATCTAAAATTCTAATATTTTAGTGTGAACATGTTTGTTTCTGTCATGAATAGTGTAATACAGATTGACAGCCAACCCCCCATCTGGTATAAATCAGGGTAGCACTACTGAAGTCAATGAAGGTACATCAATTTCTCCCAGCTGAGTATGCATCAGTAGAATACATAAAATGGAACCCATTTTTTTTCTCTTTCTGTTGAAAGCTGCCTCATGCTGCCATAGGCTTTAATCCAGGGAAGCCACCTCTTGCAGTAACACAAAACTATGAACCTCTCACATGGGTCATCATTACAACACAGATTTCAAGGAGTAAGCCCTTGATCTGGTTGCAGTGATGGGTGAGCCTCTAGAGAGGAATGTGATGCACACTTTGCTAGTATATTGTATTATTCCTTGGCTAACAGCAAGAAGTAGAAGCATCTCACACATTATCTGTACCAGGAAGGAAAACTGAATAATCCTCAGCCTGCTTGGTTACTGACCAACACTAACAATGTCACTATCCTGCTATAGTCCATTTAATGAGTTTAAGAAACTCCAAGTGAAATATAAAGAGCAACAACTTCTTAAAGCCCTTAGTGGTATGCCAGAAGAGCAATAAATTAAAAACAGAAGTCATGGCTTCCTGCACTCATTAGTTTTCCACTCAAAGTGCTTAATTATTTAAAACCCCAATTTCTTTTGGACTGGGAATGGAATAATGTTCACAAGTACAGTAATTTCACTCTTCATGGATAGTCAAATATTTTAAAAATGTGGCTTCCTACAGTTCAATAATTAACTTAAGTACATTCATCATTATTCAATGTGAATACCTATTAGCAGACATTGTAGTGAAGCATTAGAAACATTAGAAAAATGCATTTCCTTCATTTTTGGCAATGATTTAAAATAAGTCACAAATTACTATGTGACTTTTTGTTGTAATGCATTAATAAAAAATAGTTGTGCTTTTCATTCAAGCACAATGTACTGTATTCCAAATGGCATCCATTCAGCAAAAACATCTAAAGGCTTGTCTCAATGTCCAACCTTTTAGCTTAGTTATGAAACAAGGTTAAGATCCAGTCTATACTACAAAACTGGAACCATTTTATTACCTCGTTAGAGGACAAACATGGTGTAACCAAGTTCCTTGGTATTGGTTTGTGGACAGGCCTTTTCGGATACAAATGTCACACTTCTGGCACCCTAGTATCCTGTCACATATCCTTGACACAGTTCGGTCGAGAATAGTAAAAATGAGTGCTTAAAGTTGGCTCCAAAATGAATATTTGGGAATGTAAATAAGTGATCTGATTTTCAGAAGTGCCCCTTCTTAGAGTTACCTTGAAGGATCATGTCCTTAACTATCCATCTGCCTTAGAAAAGAATCAATGTTCTTTGTACAACAATGGAAATTTCTTATGTTTTGTTATAAAAACAAAACATATGGGCCAAACTCTGCCTGGACTTGCACCACATGCAACCATGCTGAAATTAAGAGTGTTACACAGACTATTGTGTTAAGACAGAATATGATCCCGGTCAGTCAGGCAAGATACAAGTTAGGAAAATTATTTTTACCCACGTAAAGTATAACAAATTCCAAATAATGTAAGTAATACCTGGTTATTTGCTAGTTCCACAAGCTGACTCCATGCATTCCCCTCCCCCAACTTGGAAGAGTTCTAAAAGACTTTTGGTCATGTATAGTACCCAGCTACTATAAATGACGGTAGTACTATACTTCTGTCCATTCAGAGGATTCTTAATAAACAGCCCACATGGCATCTGCACTTGGAATTGCAGATGTAAGCGTGAACTTTGTATCCAAACATGCAGGGCTCAACATCTGACCGGGGGTCAAATTCTGTGTTTATACTTAGAGTCAGTTTAGGGCCAGAAGGGACCACTAGATCATCTAGTCTGATCTCCTATACGTGACAGGCCACCACCACCCACACTAAACACAACAACCAAAAATTGGACTCAAGTATTACAGCTCCCAGAAGACTAGACTATTATGTGCCCCTGGCAGAGAACAGAAGGGCCTGGGGAGCACCATTGCCTCTGGCCCCCACAAAGACAGGGAAATGATTAAGTGAGATATACGCAGATAATCCTGGCAAATGACACACATCTGCACATTGCAGAGGAAGTCCAAAAAGCCCCAAGGTCACTGCCAATCTGACCTGGGGGGAAATTCCTTCCTGTCCCCACATATGGTGATCAGTTAGACCCTGAGCATGTGAACAGAAACCCACTAGCCAAGCACCTGAGAGAAAGAATGCTTGGTGCCACCTCAGAGCCTTGGCCCTCCCCACCCGAGGTAAAGCTTTCAACTTTATCATTTAAGATAGAGGTGTAAATTTGTTTTTACTTCATATTCCATTCATTCTGTTAACTTATTTCTATAGCTCTGAAAACTTGGAATCTTTGTTCATTTTCTCATACTGCTTTCTCCAACTCTTTCTTTGCCTTTTTAATAATTCTTCGTGCTGCTGCTTTACATCTTGTATCGTCCAGTAAGTCCTTGCTCTTCATTGTACTCGTTGCTTGCTTGTATGCCTTATTTCTTTCTTTAATTGCTGCTTTACGATCTTCATTCAACCAGGGAACTGGATTTTGGAATTTGTGGAAATTTGATGTCTTACCTATAGGTTGGTTGCTGCTACTACTCCCTTTATATTATCATTGAAATTCCTCTAGATTTTTACTTATACGTTGGTACTTAGATTCTCAGCACACTTACTCTTTAAGAGTCCTCAGTTTTAATTTCTAAGGCTCCAGGTAGGAACTCCTGCAGTGGCCTTCCCATTCCATCTTCTTTATAGATTTCCCAGATACATTTAATTGTTATACTGCTTGTTGCATTTCCCAGCTCTAAATATGAAGATGTTCCAGCCACTGAATTAAACCTAGAAGGTGCTTCAGTATTGAGCTATACCAGATTGTGTATGTCAATGAACTGTTCCAGGCATTTGCCATTACAATCAGTTTTTCTGCTTCCCCATAATTCATTATGGTTATTAAGGTCTCCACAAATAATATACGGGCCTTTGACACCTTTAACTAACTCTTCCAGTTCTAGATTGTCTAGTTCTTTTACATGGATTGTAAACATCCTAGATACGTATTAAGGTGCTATCAGGGGCAGCTCTAGCTTTTTTGCCACCGCAAGCACGGCAGGCAGGCTGCCTTCAGTGGCATGCCTGCGGGAGGTCCCCGGTCCCGTGGATTCGGCGGCATGCCTGCGGGAGGTCTGCCGGTCCCGCGGCTTTGGCGTACCCGCGCTGAATTGCCGCCAAAGCCGCGGGACCAGCGGACCTCCCACAGGCAAGCCACCAAAGGCTGCCTGATTGCTGCCCTCGTAGGGACCGGCAGGCCGCCCCCCCCCCGCGGCTTGCCGCCCCAGGCACGCACTTGGAGCGCTGGTGCCTGGAGCCACCGCTGGGTGCTATTATTCTGCAGAGGATCCTCAACAGTATTGAACTCAAAATTTATATTCTGTATATCCATGTCAATGTAGCAAACACCTTCCTTTATAAATATACAGACCCCCTCCTCCTGTTATT